AATTTATTTTTATAAATAAATCAATTAAAATATAAAAAACTTAAATACAATTAAAAATCGAAAGAAATAAAATAAAATGTCTTGATGTCCAGAAAGGTAATCATTCTTAAATAGGTCTCAGTTATGACATCTTAATTTTTTAGATTCTAATTAAAGATTATAATAAAGTTATTACAATAATAAAATTATTTTATTATCCATCTTTTAAGTTTTAACTATAAAATCGCGCACTATTATTCCAGCTTCAAAGAAGAACAAAATTTTAGACCAATCACAGTTCCCTTCTCATAGAAAACCCAACTATAAGTCTAATTAACCTAGAGTGGGGCTGCTGACTTGCTGTCATAGTCTCTATAGCTGTATCTTTGATGTCCAGCAACACTTTTGAAGCGTGTTCATCTTCGAGGTTCTCTCCTTTACACTTACCCATAATTTTTTTGAACAGTACGCTTACCCATATTTATAGTTTGATTTTTTTAATATAATTTTAAGTGATATTTTTATATGTTTATAACAATTAATAAATTTTTTATTGCTAAATATAATTTTTATTAAGTAATTTTATTTGATAAAAAAATTTATTTTCTTTTATTTCTAAAGATATATGCATAGAATAAAATAATGATCTTAAGTTTGAATTATAAAGTTAATTATATAAGGATAAATTTTTTTTAATTTTTTTATACAATTATTACATATAATTAAATAAGTAGATGTACTTAATATTAAAAATTTTAAATGAATATAAAAATTAATTATTTAAATAACACTTAAAATTATATAAAAATATATTCAAAAATTATTTTTAAATTATTTTTTAAATTATAAATACACAAATTATGTGAGTAAATAAATAAAAAAATATATTATTTGGCAACTGAAACTAAAAAAAAGGGAGAAAAAGAAAAAATACACGCACGAAAATCAAACGATGGTGGTACTGGGTAGCTGGGAATTGCCTGGGATCCACTATTAGCTTGTAAGAACATAGCTGTTGTTATAGGAATAATTTTTTCTATTAGTTTTTGATATAATTTTTATGTATTATTAAATGAGTAAATATATTTAATATCATGAATTTTATATAAAAATAATTTATCTAAATGATATGTTAAATTATACTAAAAGGTGATACAAAAAAATCATCTATAAATCATTTTTTTTTGTAAGAACATACCAGTTTCGCAAAAATGAAATGACGCTAGTAAATTGGTAATTGGTTAAAACTTCATTTTGATCGCTGTATTTGGGTAAAAAGCCTTTTTTTTTTTTTTTTTGGGTGTTTATACTTGAAAAAGCCCCTCTCTAATTTTAAAGATTATTCTTTTCCCCTATTTTTAATACTTCATTATTTTTTTACACTTTTTTACACATGTAACTATTTAATTAATGAAAAACTTTTTCTTCTTCTTCTTCTTCTTTTTTACATTTATGATTTGTTTAGCAATGTGAGTTTGAAATGAGTGTATTTAAATTTAAGATTGTAAATTTAAATTTAAATTTATTATTTATTTTTACATAACAAAAGTGTATTTAAATTTTAATTTAAATAAATATATTTTAACTTGTATACTTTAAAAACTAAAAAACGTGTATTTTAAATATCATCTCATATTCACAAATTTAACATTGGATTTTAATTTCTTTGTTCATTCTCACATCTTCCTCTGTGATGAAATAGCTTCTCTTCAATGAAGTCTCCATGATCACATTTAAAATTGTATATTCTTTCTTCAAATTCTGTTTTGCCCTTATTTTTGTTGCTCTGTTTATCTAGTTTAGTGTCAATTGAGTTGAACTTGCCGAGCGAATGGTGGTGGAACCCAAGTCGCTCATAGTCATGGAGGGTAGTTTGTTGGTGATGATATTAAGACCTCTATAAACTTATATTTTATTAGAGTTGATGAACTGAGAATGGGTGAAGACGTGAAGTGGGCATGGCCAAGTTAAGGGAAATGAGGGACTTCTCGCTACTGTTAGCACCCATGATGACCACAAGCTTGTCTTTCTAACATTGGCCTATGGTGATGGGGAAGTAGAGCTCATATGGGGTCATCGTGGGTAGTGGTGGCTGCAGTGACAAAGGCAAAATAGTGAGGAATGGAAGTGGGTGAAGGAGTACTGAAATAATGAGTGGGTGATTTTCATACGAGTACGTTGAAAGAACGTAGTAATAGTAATCTTGCTGTGTTGTGCTTAAATATATATGAAATATGAGATTTAATTATCATTTTACTTTGCTATATGTGATAATCGAAATAGTAACTTTATGTTGAATTTTGATGAATTACTTCAAAATAGAGGTAATGACATGGGTAATTAAAATTGCTTATTAAGTATTTGTAAAATATCTTAATAAGAGTAATTAACATTAAATCAATTTCAAATTTATAAGAGTTTAATTTATCAAATTGTATAGTTTAATAAATATTTAAAAAATATATATTTA